TTATTTGCAGCAAACACTCTAACCAAACTGTTCTCTTTTTGAGCTGGGAGCTGCAGCAGATACCTGAGCATTCTGCGTGGGCGACCCTATGCCTGAGATGGGTTATGCGTACTTTCCTTAAAAATAGCTATCATAAATGCTGCAAAAAGTACAAGAAAGGGGAGATGTACGTCATAAAAGAAACTTTGTTTTATTGAGACACAATGGTGAAAATGTGGAACTGTAAACTAATGTTGTTGTATTAAACAGATATATTGTTTATTGCAATTTTTTTAATGGGACAAGCAAAAGCTGAAGCGCAGTGGTCTCAGGGAGGAAACAAAGCAAGCAGAATAGGAACAGAATTTGCAGGAAGCTTTGGCTGTTTGATTATTGAAATATTTCTTGAGGAAACTTCTTGAGCAAAATAGCACAAGACTAAACATGCAAGTCAGAGACTCCACTGACCTGGATCTATATGTTCTTTGCTCCTGGGAGCTCTGCTGTAGCAAATTGGCTTCCAATTCTTGGTGATTGTGAATATAACCCTGGCCACTTTTCAGATGCAGTAAAGCTATTGTGTGCTTAGAGCAAGTCTGTTTATTTTTAGAGGTAAAACTTTGTCTCTGCTGAGGCGAGCGGACTTGGGCACGATTCCATCGCAGGTGTTTGTCTGAGGACTTAATCTCTACTCTGCTCTGGTGCAACAGAGAGCAAACTCTGGCTCCTGGCACTGGGTTAAATGAAGTAACAGTTTAAAGGCAGTCAGCTGAGCTGTAGTAATAAAAGAAACCTTGGAGTTCTTTCAGGCCACGCTATCTCCTTTTTCTCACATTGTCTTGAGGCTTTAAAATTTCAGTTAAGGTTAATTGAATGAGACAGTGATACATTGCACAGTGAAACCAGATCAATCACAGAGTGAATCAAAATAGAAGTAGCAATGACACTCGGAACAAGAGTTTGGAAATGTGATATTTACATTAAAATATTTTACATTTTTGTCTCATGATTTTAAAGGCTAATTTGAAAAGACCTTACCACATAGAATAACGAATTTCTGTCTGGTTATCTGTATGTATCTGTATATGTGTATGCTTGGACAGTAACATGGAATCACCATAAAATCCAACTCAATAATAGGGTGTTTTCTACACAGCTAGGCAGGCTAATTTACAGAAAAGATCAAACAGAAAAATTTGCATCAGATAAACTCATTCTTTTCTCTGAGAGTAAGTCATATGACAGCTAGCTGAATATAAAGCTGTAGGAGCATTTCCTGTAATACTAAATGGCAACAGACAATTTGACTGTTGCCTTTTCTATGTTCCTTCCCTTTAAATATCTACCTGGGTTCTGCTTTTCAACTCCTAGAGCAGCTTGCATGTAAAACTTGTCATTGCTATTCATTTATGTTAATTGTATTTGCATGGAAAATAAGAGATAGTTCCTCCTAAAACAGGTAACTAAAAACAAAGACTTAATTTCATGTGGATGACTTGGGCACTGCAAAAATAACAAAGCTTTAATGAGTGTTTCCAGGTTTGCAAACTCTTATTTCTCAGTATCTAAATCCTCAGGGTTTTCAGGAAGTCAGAGGGCCTTATTTTTATGTCAATATTTAAAGCACAGTTCTGTAGAGAAAAAAAAAAAAAAAAGTTATCTTCCAGGAATAAAAAACATGAAATGGTGTAATTTCATCACCTGCTATTCCATCAAAAACAGGAATAGTGGTTAAGCTTAGATGCAGCAGCAGCAGCTGGCTTTCAAGAACTTTATATATATATATATATATCAGAGTTTTTAATCTGAGTTTTCTCCAGTGGGAGTTTACCTCTTCTTTCTTTGCTTTCTGATCTGGTCATACTGCTAGAAAGTGACGCTCTGACACTGGAAAACGAGTGTGCGGTATGGAAGGGTACCCGGGGCGCTTCCTTTTTTCTTTCCTTTTTTTTTTTTTTTTTCTGGAAGACCATCAGATGCATCTCTGGTTTCAGTGAAGTACTAGAATAATATAAACAAGCAGCCATTCTGTTCCAAGGGGAGCTTTTTTAATATTCTTATTTTATTGTAATTACCTTATTGTTTTCATATTATGAGCTACTTGTAGAAAAATACAGGAAACATGACTGCAATACAATCCTTTAATCAGGAATAGCTTTGTTCCAGTCATCATTTCCATTCAGTGTTGAAGCTTCGACTAAGAATAATGCAATAAAAACCTTGTAATATGGTGTTAATATTAGGGTATGTGATATAGCCATTTTGTTTCTGTACGAGGTCCTTTTAAAAAAATGCATAGGAGCACTTTTGTCCATAATGCTATTTTTAAGTAAATCTTGCTACAAAGTAGTGTTTCTCAAAAGTACATAAACTTCTTTAGGAGAGCTATTTAAAATCTTTTAACCAGAGTCAGATGGGGAATTTGTATTATCATATATATTAAATGTTTTCTTCTTGGTTTTTTTTTGCTAGCAGATTATACCATAATACCTTTACTACATCATTGTTAAAGCATGTGAACTTTTTAAGAAAAAAAAGAGTCATATATTTTTATACTTAAATGGCTTTAATACACTAGTCGTTTGTGTTATCTTTATGTATAATCCAGCACTGCAAATAACTCTACCAATTTGGAATCTCCCTCCGACCTTATTTTGGCCTGTTAAGCAGCTGAGTGTTTATGTTTTTGAATGAAGGACTGGAATTAAGCAAAGTATTTTTTTAGATAAACTATTTTAACAAAAAGCATTTGTCTAAGAAAGTTAAAAGACTGCTCCCAAGCTGTTTGAAAGCAGAATGCAGCTACATACAACAGGCAATAGCCATTCATTCTGTTATGGCCCCGTCCATTTTTTAAAATGAGAACCCAGTATTCTAGATAGGCTCAGTTCAAAAACTGTTGTTATACACGGATATAATTTTGTTACTTACACAGAATTTATAAAAATGAATGTCCTAAGCTTTATGATATGTCTTTTATGAATTAAAACTAGATATTATTAAAACACTTAACTGATAGCTAATGGCTTAAATTAGAATGGGGAAAAGGGCCGTTGTTTTTATACTGAATTCCTATTTTAAGACAGATTCCCTTGTTTCGAGGCATATACATATACACACATATATAATGTAAATTAAACAGAACTGCAGATAAAAGGCATGCCTCCACTAGGGCCTGATCCAAATTGCATCCAAGTCAGCGGGAGCTTTCCCCATTTCAAACCAGATTTTGCAATCCATATTCACACGACCCTCCAGGGGATCCCTCGAGCTGATGCGGTTCTGCATGACTTGGCCTCAAACGTCTGCTGCAGTTTCTAAAAGCCCATTACAGGACTGCAGTAGGAAATCATTTAGTATAATTTAAGGAAATCGCAGGATTTTCATTTTCGTATCATTTTGTTCCAGTCTATGTGCTCACCCCTGTCTGGAGGCAAGCGCAAATGCTGCTCGCGTAAAGGAGGAGCTGTGTGAAGCGGTGCCTGGGACCGGCTCCGCGGACCCGTTCGTCCCACGTCCCCTTCGTCCCACGTCCCCTTCGCGGAGCTACGTCCTCCCTGCTGCCGGGGGGCCCCGCTCTGCCCGTGGGCACAGTGTGAAGGGAGGACGGGCTGCGTTTCACTGCGCACGGTGAGGTCCCTGGGGGAGCCAGCGGGAGCCGGGCCGCTCACGAGATGCCATCCCAAAAACTGTGTGTGCGGCAACGCAGTTAAAAACCTGCGGCCGCAAAGCGCTCGTCAGCTCCGCCAGCGGCCGGCGAGGGGAAGAGGGAGACGTTTTTCCAGGAAACCCTGCTGTGTTACCACCATAAAGCGAAATGCAAGAGCAGAGCTGAGCCTTAGATTTCTTGCTGTCTCACAATGTTTTTGCTTTAACCCTGGGCCGGTGTAATTTTAATATTTGCTATTACAGAGGAACAAATCTTTTAAAAGGAGCAGATATATTTTATTAAATCATCACAGACAACTGGAAAAAAAATCTATCTATTTAAACACAATACTTGGGTTTTGCAGGCAGATTTTTAGTGATATTTTAGATTAAAATGTTTACAGAAATGAAAGCAGCTGCAGCTAGACCTGTATAACTTTTAATCCAGACCCAAGAAACACTTCAGTCAGTTTCTTCATTAGAGGTGCATTCAAAGGAGCTTTTCCCCTTGTTTACATTACTTTTCACAGCTGGTTGTGGGACTGTTTGGTGTGGTAGCACTGTTGAGATTATTAAGCATTAAGGTGAATATGAACAGTGGTTCATATCCTGGTTTCTGTAATAGTTTCAGGATAATTCCTTGGTACTGAGAAGGTATTTAGACTTTTCTTTCTGTGTGGATGCTCTAAGTACTTAAGGGGAAAAAAAAAAAAGAAAGATGTAGGCGGAAAAAAGCTGGATGTTTGGATGTTTACTGCTGCTGGATGTGGTTACCCAGATTCGTAACAGTTTCAGCATCATGTGTCTGTGATCACGTTTTTATTTGCAGGGGAACAGTTGTCATGTTTGCTCTGTGATTTACATTATTTAAACAAATGTGGGAAAAAGAAAAAAAAAAAAGAATTTGAAGCAGCTCAATAGCATGACTAAGGCATATGACAGTGTGCTATAAAACGCTCATCATTGCGAGGCAGTAAGAGTGGAGCTCGTCCCCCCCCACCCGCAGACAGCAGCAAAGAGTAACTCCCTCCGTGCGGGATGCCCTGGTGAAATCGTGCTGCCTCCTGGTGATTTACAGGAAGAGGAGCTCCCACGAAAGCTGCATCTTGAGGCCCCCGAGGCCGATGGGGTCTGAGTGCTGCAAGGAGCGTGTGAGGCCAGGGCAAGGCCAGCGAGGCCAGCGTGGCACCTTGCCCGGCCCGCTGTGCTCTGTGTGCAGCGCGCCCGGGTTTTGCCTCTCCCGGGGGCTTCTGCCCCGGGGTCAGTGTTTGACCCACAGGTTGTGGCTGGGGGCGCGCAGGGGGCTCCGGCTGAGCCTTGCACGCCGCAGGATGGGGAGGTGACCGTGGTGTTTGCTCTCTTCTTTCCTGCAGGATTTTCTTCAAGGTGACTGCACCAAGGCGAGGCAAAAGCTGAACTGGAAGCCCAGGGTCACGTTTGATGTGAGTTGCCCCTCTGGCGTGCTCTGTACCTGCGCTGTGGCCTTGTGTCCTCCTCGAGCAAGGCAGGAGGCCGCGAGGGAGGCAGGGCGGGAAGGCTCCGCGGGGCGGCCCCGGCACGCCGAGGGGTCACGGCTGCGGTGACAGTCCCCAGCTGCCGCTGCTTTGAGGACAGCAGTGCGGGCAATCAGCGGCGACTCCGCTGCCCCTCTCTGGAAAGGGTGCAGCGCGGATCCGCGATGGGAACACCGCGTGCTTGCGCTCCCATGCCAGCGTGGGAATTCGAGCCGCACCGGGAAGCGGAGTGTGGACGCCGACGTGGAGCTCATGAGGAACAACCCGAACGCCTGAGCCCAGCGACCCGACCAGGCCCGGAGCCCCGCGGCGGGATCGGGCCCACTGCCCTCCCCGCATTCAAAAGCGGGTTCCCCCCTCTCCCCGCGCCCGCCGGGCTGGGGCTCCTGCCATGGGAAGGGTCACTCCATTCCACCCCTTTTTCCCTACCTGAAGGAAGCATCGGTGCTGGTTTCCTTTTGATAATTAAAACTCGTCTTTCAATCACCTGGGACCTTCGGCGCGTTTTTAGTGCTTCTGCCACTGATTGAAAGGAAAACAAAAGCGTGTGCCCCCCCCAGCCTGCCCGGCAGCATCGCCATTCCCCAGTCCTGGCTTCCCCTCTCCTTCCTTTCCTGAGCACTCCTTGTTTTCCTTTTCTGCAGCTCACCTCCACCCGAGCCGCCCCTTCCCACCGCTTGCACTCCGCCAAAGTTTGGATAACTTGATACAGCTTTGCAATGAGATCGCCTTTGACTACGCCGAATTAATTCCTAATTGCTGGAATCGCTTTCAAGAGGGTCGGGGGCGGGGGGGGGACTTGTAAGCGCTTTGCAGTTCTTCCTTCCCGAGTGTGTGTGAGTCGCAGAAAGCCTTTTACCCAGCACCTTCCAGATCCAGGGGTTTGGGGGGTGTTTTTTTCTTTTTCTCGCTCTCTCAGAATCGACCGATTTATCTTCTACCCTGTTACTATAATGAGAGCTCGGATGGGAGCTTGATCCATCTCAAAAGATGTCTTAAAAATAAAATAAAAATAAATTAACTAAATAAACTTTTTTTAAATAGAAACTTCGAGGTGAGTAAATATTTTTGCACTCTTTGTGCCAAGGTGCCCGGGTTATCCAGAGGTCGCCATGGCCATACATTTCCCTTTGGTTTCGGCTCTTCCACCCACCACTTGCTCCCATCGCGGAGTTTTACGCCTCGCGAAGGCGCATGGCGGCCCTCGCAGCGGGGGCCGTGGCCGCGGGTGCGGAGCGAGCAAAGCCCCGAGGCGCCCACGAGCGCGGCCC